TACTGAGACTGTTTGACGCTTAATAGCCTTTTTTTTTTTTTTTTAAATTTTTTCCTTTAAAGAGGGGAAGGGGAGAGGAGGGTTTGGTAGGCTGCTGTGACTTTGTTTTTTTCCCCGTAAAAGATAGATAAATGCCAAAAAATTTTGTTATGGTAATTTATGCTGTAGTAACTTTCTCCTGTGATAATTTGATATTTTCTCATTGGCATTGGTAAAATTCATGATCCATTCTCATTCTTACTTAAGACTTTAACTACAGGATTGATGAAGAACAGACACCCGAAGATGCTGAAGATGGGCCTCCAGAATTGCTTTTTATCCATGGTGGTCACACAAGTAAAATCTCAGATTTTTCGTGGAACCCATGTGAAGATTGGGTAATTGCCAGTGTTGCTGAAGATAACATTCTCCAAATATGGCAGATGGCTGAGAACATTTACCATGATGAAGATGATATACCTGGAGATGAATCAACAAAAGGTCCACAGTAACATTTTGTCCATATAGAAGCCTATCAGGGGGCCCGAAGCCTGTAATATCTAGGAGGGCGGCTAGGAGTTACTTTCGTTTTTATATAAAAAAAGAAACCATTTTGCTATATCCAAATTTTCTTTAGAAGTGTTTGAGCCAGTTCTCATTTCTCATCTACTTTTACTATTTAGGTTGGCCCTTTTGATATGGTATTTGGAGCTGTTTGTTTCATGACAGATGAGAATTAGTTCTGATCAGCAGAATAATTCTCCCACATACTAAGATTGTAAATTCAATCCAGTTATCTTCTCCATCAAGTTAGTGAGATCAGCAGAATAATTCCGCCATATCAAGTTATTGAGATCCTTTCATCTTTAGTTTTTACTTTTAGGTATATGGTATGTAGAAGAATCTGCAATGGTTCAGCAATGGGTATGGTTGCAATCTCTTTTCCAGGTGATTACAAACTCACAGGTAGAGTAGGCCATGGTATGCTGGTCTAAGTCACACATAAACTAAAATAGCAAGAGAGAGAGAGAGAGAGAGATGTAGGTACATACAGGACAGATAAATATAAATATATTAGCATTTTAAAAATATTTGAGATTCAGATTGGAATTTTTAAAGTTTGTGTGAAAGTATTACATCCATTTACATTGCATTTATGTAAAAATTTATACATCATCGAAATCAAATTTACCATATCAATATTTTAAAAATATTGTTGTGAGAAGTTAGAGAATACATAACTTATGAACTTTTTAATAATTACTTAACATGTTATCAAATTTAAATATTGTTAGAATTTTTCCAACTCTCAGATCTTTTCCACCTCACGAGTGGTTTTTGAGAATCAATCTTTAATAAAATAATATATTTCTATCCATAAAAGGAGTCTTCCTTCCTAAACAATTTTTTTTTTTTTTTTTAGATTTTTCACTTAATCTAATCTCACTTCTCTAAATTAAATTAATCTCTAGTAAATTCCATTGATAAGAAAAATTTGCACTTCGTCTTTGGTCTCTCTATCACCCTTATTGCTGAAAATCGTAGAGCTTGCCTTGCAAATATGCCGAGAGTTATGAGTATTGAGTTGAAATTTAAATTTTGACGTATTCCTCTCATTTTCTTCATCTTGATAGAAACTAAGAGCAAAACATCCGAGATTGAAGTTGTTAGAAAAAAAAGGTTGTTGCTACTTTTGGTTTGGTTATTGAGCTATGAGTGAAGGTCATGATCATATAAGTGAGACAATAAGTGAGGTTCCTAAGAATTTATGGCTAACTAGAATTAACAAAAACATTTTACTTGAAATCTTATGTTATATTGAAAATATGCTAATCCTTTTCTTTAGGTATGCGGTATAAAGAGGATTTAATGAGATTTTGTTTTTTGATGAGAAGATGGGTGGTGGTCCTTAGAAGCCTTCTTGATTAAATACTCTTGAAGTTATTGAGAAAGCTTGGTTGTACACCTTTGTCCCAATAACTAACAATGATAAAACTACTTCCAAGATATGTAAGTTGAAATTATAAATATCCAAATTTTTCCATTACATACCAAAAAAATGATTTTATTACGAGAAAGAAATGACATGCTTGCTAAGGAAGGAAGAGATTATGTTTGAGCAACGTAGGCACATTTCTCGGTTAAAATATGGTGATAAGATCAAATCCTTCTTTCACTCAAAAGAGAATAGAAAGAGGTAGCAAAATATAATTTCTAGATTGATGATGAAGATGGTTCATGGGCTTCAACTAGGAGCAAATTACATATATGTTAATATATGTTAAGTTTCACTTTATTAATCTATTTACTTCTTTAAATACATAGGAGATGTTGTTTTCAATGAATTAGAGTGAGATTGAATCAATTATACGAAACAACTCTATCTAAACCATATAAGGGAGGAAAAGTGATTTTTGCCTAAAACAAATTCGTCCATAAAGGCTTCAAGATTATGACATTCTTTTTTAAAAAAAAAAAAAAGTGAGTGATTTATTGTTAGATCTGATTTCAATAAAATGTTATTTTATACTATGAATTGTAAGTGTTAGAAATATTTATATTGATTATAATAATATTAAATATTTAATTTGTACTAATGTACATTTTATAAGCTCTTGCAATGAATTTGGAACAATAATCAAATACTAAGAACAAAGAGAAGAGTCATAAGTTGGTAACAACTTTACTTTCATTTTTTTGAAGATTTAGATCTATAGCCTAAGAAATTTTAAATACTTTTTTAAAATCTTCATAATGATTTTCGGAAGTGCTTTAAGAAGAAATCATCAAAGGTATTTCCAAATGAATTTGAAAATTTAATTCTTGAGAATTTTATTTATGGAAATATGACTATACATGTGCATTTCAATACTATCGAAACATATTTGACATTGACGGAGGGAAGCATAGTTATATTTAAAAGCGTTAGATGCTCTCAATTACTCAAATTGTATTTAACAAGTAATTTCGTCAAAATAATTTTAAATACTATTCTTTACTTCATTTAATACAAATTTTGAGTATTTAAAGATTATAATTTCAAAAGCTTCCCGTTCCACTCTTTTTTAGCTTTAAATTTAAAATTTTTGTGCTTCAACTTGTATATTTATTTTTGAAAGAGAGAAAATATTGAGTTTTAATATTTTTACTTATTTTGAAATATCGTAAAAAAAAAGAATGAGAACTCATTTGAACAAAAAATGTTGAAAAGATATTTTAAGAAAGAGTTTAACCCTAAATATAACAAGTACTATGAGAATAAACTCGGCAACGAGAATAACAAATATTATAAAGATGAGTACAGGAGCAAGAATAACAAGTAAGCGTTTGTTACTAAGGAGATTATTGGTAAAATTCTTAAGTAGTAACTTGAGGAGAGTACCAAGATATGGGTTGGGCCAAACTTTAGTAAATTGTATTTGTATATTCTCTCAATTCCTCTTATTTGATTGCTTACATTAATTGTTTTATAGTTACATTAATTAAGCTCTGAGTTAAATTTGTTTAACAACAAATTATTGCCAAACTTAATTGGAGAATAGTTTGTAGAAACTTAAAATTGTTAAATAGTTAGGTTAAGCTTGAAAATTAGAAAGGGGTTGAGAAAGTCAATTCAAGATAATAGTAAGGAATTACCTTTGGAAATCCATCTTGTCCACATTATTTTTATTCCCAAGTTTGAAAAACACCAAACCCCAATGAGTTTAGATTAATTAATCTTTGTAATATAATTTACATATCGAAGGCTATATTACCAACTAGAATTCACCCACAATAGATTTCGCATTATTTCTTAGTCGGTTTATTACTGATCATATTATTGAAAAAAAAAAGTAGATGTTCTTTTCTTAAAGTTAAATAACTAAAACATTGATTGAGTTAGGTGGTCTATTTTTGTTGTCATTAGTTTTTTTCTTTTCAATAATGTTTTGTATTTTTATACTGTATTATATCTCAAAAATGTTTTACTTGATTTTACTGAATGGATAGTGCTGTGAATCTTTCCCACTTGAAAGGGGACTCCATCAATGAGAGGTTTTTTTTCACTGAGAGGTTTTTTTCACATACATAGAGAAGGCCTTTTGTTTATGATTCACAAATATGAAGGCAGTTATGCAATCAATTGAAATAAACTCTATTTGATTAATTACAAATGAATATATTGATGTATCTAACTATTCAGAATTGTTACATTACATTGTGCTCAACCTGGAGATGCATCCATCTACAGTTTCATTGCAGATAAATGCCTTGTAATAATAGCTAGCTACAACTCCCTTTTTCAATTTATTTATTATTCAGCTCATCAATCCATGATTAAATTAAGTCAACGCTGTCTTGGCTTGTGTCTGTGTGTCTGCGAAAATCAGACTTGAAGGTCTCCATTGTTGATGTTTCCCTGAAACTTGATATACTTATACCATTTAGCGCAGATGATGTAAATCACAAGATCAGCCGTTGTTAAAGCTGCTAGAAGGAAAAAGAACCTATCGAGATGACCTTTGTTAAGGTTTCCAGGGATCCATCCATGCATATCATCTCTTGTAGATATTTTCATAACAATTATCACTAGCAAACTACTCACATAGTTTCCAAGTGAGATTGATGTCATGCATAGTGCGCTACCGAAGCTCTTTAATCCGTCTGGTGTTTGTCCATTAAAAAACTCTAATTGACCAACATACATGAAAACTTCTGATGCTCCTATCAGCACGTACTGAGGAATTTGCCAAAATATGCTTAAACAACTAGCACTTTCACATTTTTTTCCTGCATACTTCAACCTGAAAATCTCAACTCCTCCTGCACAGATCATTGACATTATCGCTATTACAAGACCAATTCCCATCCTTTGAAGCTCCGTTAGACCTTTGCCTTTTGTTTTTATTCTTGCAAAAACGGGATCAAGAACCCGGCGGTAGATGAAAATAAAGACCGCTACGCTGATTATGTCGAAACTCGACATGCTTGCTGGGGGAATATGGAAGCTTGAGACGGTAGTTTTCATTGCAGCACCTTGTTCCACAAACAATGAGGCCATTTGTGTGAAAACTACTGAGTAAAGGATTGTGCATAGCCAGATTGGGAGGAGTCTCAGTATGCATTTAACTTCCTCAACCTGTGTCACAGAACAAAGTCTCCATGGATTGTAAACACCGTTCTTATCCTTCTCTTCACAGTCTTTGGATGTGAGGACTGCTGCTCTATCCAACAATCTGTAAAACAGTAGTAATAAATAGTTACAACCTCTTCCTCTTATAAATAATTAATCATATATACATGAAGCATGTTGTAATAATTAGAAGTCATAAACTTTGGTATTCATGATGAGTATTGTTTATATATGAAGTTATTATGTGTATATATACCTGAATCCTTGGGTATGGACAATCTTTCTGGTCTCATCCTGATCATTTTGGTGAAGTTGGAAGCGATGGTTTTCCTTTGACTCCATTTGAACTCTGCATTTCCTGATTGCAGCAACCAAGACTTGGGAAAATCTGAAGAGAGGGTTTCCTTTGGGGTTGAAATGCCTATACCTAGGAGTCCCCAAAAGAAAGAGGATTAAAGCTAGAGCAGCAGAAGCAGTGGATGCCCAAAACCCCAGAACCCACATCCCTTCATCCTCAAAGTAACCCAATATGGTATTTGAAAATAGAGAGCCCAGGTTCAAGGCCAAGTAAAAGTAACTAAAGAAGGCTATTTTGGAATGTGCTTCTTTAGTGTCTTCTCCATCAAACTGATCTGCTCCAAAAGTGGCAATATTAGGTTGATATCCTCCATTTCCCAGGGCTATGGAGTATATGGAGAGGTAGAATAGAGCAATTCCGAAGCTTGAATGTGATCGACATGGAGTTTGTTCAACACCGCAACCACTAGGCTTCAGTAAAAACAGGTAGGTCGAAATTGATAATAGCACGAGACCCTATCACATTCAAGACGAGATCATGATTAGGATGTAATTCCAAGTAAATTAAGTTGAGAGCTTTTTTTTTTTTTTTTTTTTAAATAATAAGTAAATTAAGTAATCTTAATATATAAGTAATAAATTATGCATCTTTCTATCAATTTAAAAGGCGGTAACTTAAATTTAATATTTAAAATAGTATAAGAACTAGAAATCACCTACTTAAATATTACAACCTTATCTTTTTTCTTATTATTTGTTCTCACTCATTTACTATTGAACCTTGGGTCCTGTAAAGTTGGATGTTTTTGCTTTTTACTAGTTCTATAAAATTAAAAATAATGGTTTGATTTCTATTGAATAAAGATGAAATATATATACATGTATAAAACGAGAAATTCACAATTAATTAAATATTTTATCGATCACTTAATTTGTAAGATTTACTATCAATTACATAATTTGTAAAATTTACTGTCAATCACTTAATTTATAAAATTTTCTATCAATCAAATTATTCAAAATAATTAAAAAAACATAATTAATTCCTCTAATAAGTTTAAGTTCTTGAAACAATTAATTTAATTTATTGTTTAAGAAGTAAATATAGAAAGAAAAAAGATAATAAGAAAGAAACAACTCACGATGACAAAGATGGCTTGGAAGATTACACAGGTTTTGTACCTTCCCCAGTAAGAATCACTAAGGAAGGCGCCAAGAAGAGAGAAAATATAGACTGTTCCAGTCCACTTGCTCACATTGTTGGCTGCTTCCGCATTGTCTTGGCCCAACACTCTTGTCAGAAATAAAACCAGGTTCACTCCCACTCCAAAGAATGCTAACGTGGCCAGTCCTTGATTCACTGTTAATAATAAATTAAGATTTAATCAACTTTGATTGGCTACCTCAAATATAACTAATGAGGTTATTAGTCAATTACTTTATATTCTACTCTACGTATCTTATCACTTCCTTTGTATATACATTTGGACGTATTGTTCTTCTTATTGTAAACTATATGAAATACAATTAAATAAGCTGATGACGTGATCAATTAGGATACCTATATATATATACATGTTGCTGGGAGATAAGCAGTGTTTTAAAAGAAGAGAAGAAAAGCAGCACATATAAAGATCCATACATATATATATATATATATATATAAATACGTGTGTGTATAAGTACCAAGTATAAGAATTCCAGCAACCCATGTTCCAGTTCTTCCTCTAACTGCAGGACGACCTTGTCGATCAACAGATCCGTCTAGAGTGCATATTTCTTCCTCCTTTTCGATGATCTTCTTTTCCACTGCCCCCTAAAAGTTTTTAAACCTACATCAGTTGGATCTTACACGAATATATAGACAAATCACTTATAACTACATGCATATACATGCATGTTATAAAGAAAATTACTCTTCATGAAGTGTTCAAATGAAAATTTTCTATATCTGAAATGGATACGTAATAGTCGTTCAACAAGTATATATATATACACGTATATATATCCAATGGTTTAGACGCGCAAATAAACGTGTCTATTTCCTTTTAGGCTCTAAACAATTTGATAAGATTTGGGAAAGATATACTGACAACAATCTTAAAATGTGCCCACATGTCTTATATGTGTGTTCTTCCCCTGTTAGCAAGGTTTTAAACTACATATTATTAAGCAGTAGAGAAATATAAATGACTAGAAAGACTATAAGTATGGTTAATTACGTTTCATTTGATTTTTTTTTTTTAAAAAAAAAACATAAGCAAATAAAAATTGAGGTATATCAATTTATGTTTATTAAGTCTTCTAACTCTCATATATTCATAAATTATCTAATAATTTTTATATATTAATAAAAAAGTATTTTAAGAATTTTTAGTAATAAATTGAATCGGTTATCCTAAAATATTTAAACTAATAAAAAAGAAGCTAAACAATAATTTATGATCTAATATGTTTTTTCGTGTGTAAACCCATCATACTAAAAATATAATAGTGTGAATCAAGTACATATTCACCAAAATAAACTTTATATGAAATTAATTTTAATATGAATGGAAAATTTTGGCTTTAAATGTTATATTCTTTACTCTAATATAATACTGAAAATAAATTAAACTAATTATTTTAAAATATTATGTTAATAGAAAAAAATTAATTATTTATTTATATTTTTAAAAATAATTAAAAAAGAAGGCTTTGAATTAAATCATGACCAATTATTATTTAATAGCAACTCCACACAACAGATGACTAGAATAGGCAAAATTTTATGCGTGCATGGAAAGAAAAAGTGTAAAACAATATACAACTAAGAAAAATGAACATGCTTTATCATATATGTGTATATATATGTACACACACGCAAACACATGTATGTTATGTAAATAGCCAGAAGTTGCTAGCTAGCTAGATTGCTATATATATATATACATGTATATATACACATACATACGTATAGATATATATGTATGATTAGAAAAGTTGAGCCACCTGTTTGCAAATGTTTAAACACGACATTGTTGGGAGCAGAAGAGGTAGAAGTTGTCTTCTCAAATCCAGAAGCTTTTGTAGGCTAAAAAGAAAGAGAGGAATGATTGAAAGAGAGACGATAGATTTGTGGGGAGTGAATAAGCAGCTACACATATATATAGTATATATAGAGAATTGAAGGATTAATCGGACGGCTGAGATTACATCAAACGAGACCAACAATCATGGCCCACGTGCCCAAAACATGTGTTGGATTCAGCGTCATCCGCATCATCATCCATGACCATTCTGTCGCTTTCACATGCTGGCCACTTTCCTATACTGGAACTGGGCTGTCTTTGACACTGACATGTCCAAAACTTAACCTTTTCATTTTCTTTTCTTTTAGGTGGCTTTACATTATGAATTTATTTTATTTGTATTTTCTAATTATTTTCTTAATTTTACATTAAATTAGTACAACATTTTTCTTATGTCTATTTTTGATACCTCTGCGATCTCCCGTCTGATATATAGCAGCACATATATCAGATTTGTAGCTAATGTAAGAATTATCTAGGAAGTTATACTCCAAAAAAAAAAAAAAAAAAAGCAAGCAAGCTATCTAGGGTAGTCCTTTTGCTAAATAAATATTATAATAAAATAAATTTGAACTAAAGTATATGTATGTAGGTCAGTTTATAGAGTACATATAATGCATGAACTTAATTAGTAAAGTTAATTATCATAATTTTGGTTACAACTAGTAAAGTTGAAGAAACATGCGTGAACTTAATTACACCCTAATTGAATGATTTAAAGGGTTAAACATGGAAAAAGAAATAAATTCCCTTTTGGATTTTTTCTGATGTTTTATATGTACTAATAATGATAAAAAGAGTAGCTAGCCAGCCGCCTTTGATTGACCAAATTATAGAGGTATTGATATTGAGAGCTATCTAGGGTAGGCCTTTTGTTAAAATAAAAATTATGATTTAAGTTGGATTATTGTATGTATTTTTTTTGTCAATATATGGATTATAGATTTTTATTTTTATTAGGAGATAAGATTATGCTAATTTGAACGTACTACATATAAATATCCTAATTTAGTTAGATCAACTACTTATGATTTCAATTAATAACTTGGAATGAAAAATAATCGGAAACCATTACTATAATGTCATTTTCGGTTGGTATATCCCCCTTGTGATTCTATATCGAAGTTTTTTTTTTTTTTCTTTTAGTTAAATTTATAGAACTTATATATATGGTTGCAGTGATTATTGAAATAAATTTTAAGGTATATAAAAATGGCAAGTATCAATTGGTATAAGTTATTAATGTATATCAATTTCTTTACGCATCATTAAGTTTTTAATTACAAAACACATGCATATCCATTCATTTTGTTTTTCTGTACACAAAATATTAATTTACTATATTTTTACAAAATTTTTGGCTCATAACCAAAGTACAACTTGAAGTTCATAATTAGTCATCTTTGCAATATTTAAAAAAATCTAAACATAAATATAAGAAACAAACATGAGTGATCTTAAATAAATTCGTATTTTAGAATAGAAAAATAGTTACAAACTTTAAAAAAAAAAAAAAAAAGATGTACTTTCAAGAGATTTTTAAGTAAGCATTAATTAGAGGGAGATAAAATAAAAACTTATACGTTAAGTTTAATAAAATAAAAAGTAAAATAGACCTTATGGACCAATAACATAATTCGAGTCCATTTGTAAAATAAAATCAACTCCCTAAGACTGTAAAGTAAAATCTTTTGATTTTTCATCGAAAGAAAATATGTTTTAAGAGTTTTCAGAAAGCATTCGATAATAGGTGTAGCACCCGGAAAGGAGGAGGAAA